TTCAAGACCGCGAGTTTGTCTTCAACACATCCAAACAACGCTCGCTTACTCACAATGGTCACAAAATCTTCTTGGCTCAAGATCTATCAGCGGAAACCATGAAGGTGCGAAGCTCATTCAATGCAGTGAGGAAAAAGTTCCTTGAAGCTGGAACTTTTTGGGGATTCACCCTACGCCCTTGTAAAATGAGGGCTCTCTACAACAGGAAGATAGTCCTTTTCTCCACACCAGAAGAAGCTGAGAACTTCCTCCCAAACTTCAGAGATTTCAAAGGTTAAGTGTTTTCTTATATGTCAGTTCTTACTACTTTCATTTATTCTATTCTTTTATTTTTTGTCACACTCAACATGGTCATCTATCTCACTGCACTTGAAACAACATGGAAAGTCCAAAACTGTCTGATTTAAGATTTACAAGCTGGAATGTCAGGGGACTCAATAAGCTAACTAAACTGAAACAGGTAATGAACAGACTTAAAAACTTACATTCTAAACTTATTTTTCTTCAGGAAACTCATACATACAGTCACTGAAATCAAACAAGTACAACGTAGGTGGCCTGGTCAAGTTATACATGCCACATATAACAATTATGCTCGGGGGGTACTAGTTCTTATCCACAAAACAATTCCTTTTTAACTTACTAATATTATCCGGGACCCCCAAGGAAGGTTTGTAATCGGTCAGGGTAGGATCCTGTCTCTCGCATTGAATTTGGCCAACATATATGGTCCTAATGAGGACAACCCAAATTTTTGGAAGATTTCTTCTTAACCTTGTCTTCACTGTATGGCCTAAATATTTTTGGTGGGGATTTCAATTGTACTTTGAACCCATCGGTAGATCGCTCTACAAAAAGTGATCCCCATAAAAAACAATCTAGAAAAACAATTTCACAATATATCACAGACTTAAACTTATCTGAAATCTGGAGAAAACTTAACCCAGATAAAGTGGAATACTCATGCAACTCATGAATGCATAAGTCCAGGTCTCGCATTGATTCTTTTTTAGTATCACAAGAACTGGTATCCAAAATTAAGAATTGTTGGTATGACTGTATAGTCATTAGCGATCACTCCCACATTTCTATGTCTGTACAAATTGGCGTCTGCAAGTGAGGTGGCTTAAAAATCCGGAATTTGTTAAATATGTAGAAGACAAGACTGACATCTACTTTCAGATCAACACTAACCAAACTAACGCATGCATTAGATGGGAAGCCTTCAAGGCATATATTAGAGGGCAAATTATTAGTTTCACAAGCACTAAAAACAAGAAACAAAAAGCAGAAATTAATAAATTAGAGAAGCAAATAAAATCTTTGGAAATGGATATAAATAATAAAGGAATACAATAAATTAACATCTGATAAAACAGCAAAAAGTTTACTGTGGTTGAACCAGGCTTTTTATGATCAGGGAGAAAAGGCCGGCAAATTGTTAGCTTGGAGAATTAAAATAATACGGTCTGAAAGAGCTATTAATGGCATAACTACTCAATCAGGGGAGATATCAAACGATCCTCAAGATATTAATAATACATTTAAGGAATTTTATCAATCACTGTACAGGTCAGAATGCTCCCCCACACCCGCTTATAGAGATGCCTTTCTTAATCAGCTCCAGTTTAAAATGCTCACCGAGGAGGTTAAAGAGGACCTGGATAAGGACATAACGGTGGAAGAGCTATTGCAGGCCATTAAAAGTATCAACTCAGGCAAAGCTCCAGGGCCTGATGGCCTGCCAATAGAGTTTTATAAAACCTTCCAGAAGCAGTTGTTGACCCCACTCTTGAATAAGTTTAACAAGTCATTTAATAATGGTATATTACCACCAACTTTAAGACTCGCTAAAATAATTCTTATTTTGAAATCTGGGAAAACGCCAACCGACTGCTCCTCGTACAGGCCTATTAGTCTCATGGAAGGAGACACAAAAATATTGTGTAAAATTCTAGATAAAAGGCTAGATCCATACCTTCTTTGGTACATAGTGATCAGAATGGGTTCGTACAGAATCGTCAGGGATTTCATAACATCAGAAGGGTCCTCAAGATAATCCACTCTAAAAATAACACCAGGGATACAGCGCTGTTATCTTTAGATGCTAGACAAGCATTTGATAGAATCGAGTGGCCTTATTTGTTCAATTTGTTACCAAAATATGAACTTGGGGTCAAATTTCCGAAATGGATAGAATTATTGTATACCAACCCTACAGCCTGGGTAATGACGAATAACAATTTATCAAGCCTGTTAACGTTAGAGAGGTCAACCCGTCAGGGCTGTCGTCTCTCCCCACTATTGTTCACTTTAGCCATGTCCATTAGAGCTGAAGCCAATTTGTCAGGTATAACAATTGGAGATCACGAACATAGGATATCGTTGTATGCAGACGAAGTGATCCTTTTTTTGTCAAACTTATCAAACAGTGTCCAGACATTATTACATTTAATTAATACATTTGGTCAGTTTTCTGGATACAGTATTAATAATGCTAAATCTTCTATACTTTTCTTGAACAAAGACGAAAGAGCTAATCCAGTTTTAAGTACACCCTTTTCTAATGCGAGGGAGGGCTTTACCCATCTTGAAATTAAGATTACCCCCCAAATTAATACAGTGTTGATGAGAGAAGTACAGGACTTACTTGAAAAATGGACAACAATGGCAATATCAATGATTTGCCGGATCAACATAATTAAGATGACTATCTTGCCAAAATATGTATTTGTTTCAATCACTCCCAATACCACTGCCAAAATCCTTTTTTAAACAAATCAATAGTGCATTTTGTAGGTTTATCTGGAACAACAGAAAACCTAGATTAAGACTCAGATTATTGTATTTGCCATATGACAGGGGTGGATTACAGATGCCCAGTTTACAGTCGTATTACTGGGCCGCTCAGCTGCACAGTGCTATGTTTTATTTTGTCACACACTCCCCTCCAGCATGGGTTTATATTGAACAAGCATCAATATCTAAGCTGCCATTAAGCCTATATTTATATTCAGCAGATTTTAAAACTTTAAAGAAAAAAACAACAAATCCCTTCCTTAAAAATTCTATTGATATATATGGTTTAAAGCTCACAGACATATTGGACACCCCCCATCTCTCAATTTTCACCTATTTGGGATAACGCGCAGTTTACTCCTGGCAGGGCAGATGGTGGTTTTCATGGTTGGGCCGACAGGGGGGTGCAAAAAATTGGAGACTTATATGTTCAGGGCACTTTACAAACATTTAACAACCTTTGTTTGAAGTATTCAATCCCAAAAAAACACTTTTTTAAATACTTACAACTGAAGCACTTCATCTCATCAAAGCATCAACAGGCTACACGTGAGCCGCCGCTGTCCTGCCTTGAAGGCATTGTGTTGAAACACATGAATGGGAAACGGCAAATCTCTATACACTATATACAGCACTTATCTCGCATGATGAGGAATCTAGTCATGATAGAAGGAGGATATGGAGTTTACATATTAAGGAAGCTATTGAAGAAGCTGAGTGGGCGACAGCTTGTTTAAAAGTTCAATCACAAACCATTAAAATTCGAAAGAAACTGCTACAACATAAGTGGTTTATGAGGACATACATAACCCCTGAGAAACTCAATAAATGGTCCCCTGGCATTCCGGATACATGTGTGAAATGTTTGACTGAGAAAGGTACTTTGATTCATTGTGTATGGGAATGTCCTAAGCTGGTAACTTTTTACTCTAAGTAAAATCACAGGTATTCAGGTACCCTGCGTAGCAAAAGTTTGTATTTTAGGGATATACCCAGATCGCTTCTCTGTTAACTCTAAGTGTAAGACTCTGATCAACTTTAGCCTCCTGCAGGCCAGGAGGATGGCTGCCCTATCTTGGAGAGAGACTGAAGTATCCTCTACACAATCCTGGATTAGCGAGATGGCAATGTGTGTTACATTAGAAAAGCTAACCTATGTCATTAGGGGTAAAATGCAAGAATTTGAAGAGTTGTGGGCACCCTTAATGGACTTTCTCAAGCAACAATAGATTATATTTATCTGTAAGGCTATTGAGTGTGACAACTGTACTAGCCGAGACTATCGGGGGATTTCCCATGGTGCACTGAGCTCCTCTCTTCCTCTCTCTCTCTGCACTCATTCATGTCCCATTAATGCATGTTACTAACTTCACTTCTTCCCCGGAGTTCTTGTGCTTTCTCGTCTCCCAGGTTCTCATGGATCCTGGTGGAGCCTCCTACCATGGTCCTGCTTGACTGCCACTGCTAATATCACTGATATTAGTGTTATTATTATTATAAGTATTATTATTACTACAGCTACTATTATTACTATTGTCACTGCTCGTTGTCCCCCATCGTTGCTGTTGTCATGTTCATCATCATCAGTCACTACTATTAGTGTAGTTGTTGCTACTGTTGTGGCTGTGCACCGGTCTGTCTGTCTGTCTGTCTGTCTGTCTGTGTCTCTCTCTCTCTCTCTCTCTCACCCCAACTGGTCGAGGCAGACGACCACCCACCTAGAGCCGAAGGGTCTGTCCTAGGTTTCTGCTTTTTAACAGGCAGTTTTTCCTTGCCCCGTCGCCAAGTGCTTGCTCATGGTGGTACTGTTGGGTCTCTGTATTAATGTTATGGTTTCTAGCCTGCTCCATTTGAATGTCCTGAGTTATTTAAAAATTGAATTGAATCACTATATCACTATATGACTGTATCACTGTATCACTATATGACTGTATCACTGTATCACTATATGACTGTAACTATATGACTATATTACTATATGACTATCACTGTATCACTATATGACTATATGACTATATTACTATGACTATATGACTATATGACTGTATCACTGTATCACTATATGACTGTATCACTGTATCACTGTATGTATGTATATATATATATATATATAAGTGTAACTACCGGCAGTGAGCTGTTGGCAGGTACAGTGGAGACTCTTTCACTGAACTACACCAACTGTTCACACCTGTACTTCCTACCTCTCATCTCTAGACGACCACACACTCTCTGACCATGTTGAACCACAGCTCCCCCTCCTCCTCCTCCTCCTGTTAATTCCTCCTCCTCCTCTCTGTCTGCAGAGCGGCGGTAGATTCCCTCCTTTACGTCTTCAAACACGTCCAACATCTCAGAGACCCGAGCAGTGTAACCAGCCAGCTCCGTTACCTGCACATGCACACAGTGAATACTGTTCATCTGTGGTACTGAGGAGGAGGAGGACGAGGAGGAAGAGGAGGAGGAGGAGGAGGAGGAGGAGGAGGAGGAGAGGAAGAGGAAGAGGAGGAGGACGAGGAGGAGGAGGAGAGGAGGAGGAGGAGAGGAAGAGGAGGAGGAGGAGGAGGAGAAAGAGGAGTAGAGGAGTAGAGGAGGAGGAGAAGAGGAAGTGGAAGAGGAAGAGGAGGAGGAGGAGGAGAGGAAGAGGAGGAGGAGGAGAAGAGGAAGAGGAGGAGGAGGAGGAGGAGGAGGAGAGGAAGAGGAAGAGGAAGAGGAGGAGAGGAGGAGGAGGAGCAGGACAGGGGGGGAGGAGAGGAAGAGGAGGAGAGGAAGAGGAGGAGAGGAAGAGGAGGAGGAGGAGGAGGAGGAGGAGGAGGAGGAGGAGGAGGAGGAGAGGAAGAGGACAGGAGCAAGAAGAGCAGGGAAAAAGCAGCAGGACCTCCTTGTATGAGCTCATGATCCTCTCCACGGCGTCGGCTGCAGCGTTGAGGAGGTTTCTGGCCGTGGTGAAGGCCTGCGTCCTCTCACTCACCAACTCCTCCTCCTTCATCACCCTTGCGGCCTGTTTCACCTCCTCAGAGTCTGGAGACACCGCAGGTCAAAGGTCAGACTGCAGAAACTGCTCTCATGCTGTCATCATGACAATCATTTTACTCATTTACCATATTTGGAGTATCCTGTGGCGGTGATGATCGGCACGGCAACCATCACCAGGCCAGAGGCGCTCCACACGTACTTCATGAGGAACTGTTCGAGCATGATGTACCAGAGACGCTTCAACAGGATCTGATGGATCTGAGAGGACAGGGACCGGTAGCTCCGCTGCAGCTGGGCCATCTCCACCTACGAATCAAACGTACCCAGACACCGACATTGATGTTAATGACGTTCCGCCATCCTCATTACTTTAAGCTGCTTGTGTCTGTTTCTGACCACTAGGGGGCATTTGTTTACCTTGTGTCCTCCATAGAAAGCGATCTCCTCAGAGTTGGCGATGATGCGAGAGTGCATGTATCTAAGGTCTCCTTTCCTCCTTGCCTCCTCGGCCACCAGCTTCCCGAACCGGGGCGAGCAGGAGCGCAGGACTTTGGCGGTGAGCACCACAACCAAGCCGGCAATGATGGAGGGCCACGTGGTGTTGGCTCCTGCGGGGAGGATGATCCTCAGGATGTCAGATATTTATTCATTAACACAGTCTGACCTCAGTAACATTGATGTACCTTTGGCCTGCGCGGTGCGCAGCAGGGTATAGCAGGTGACGACCACGTCCAGGATTGGTTTGGTCAGGTTGGAGTAGAGATGGGCGATGGAGGCTGAAAACATGACGATGTCCTCAGTAAGAGACTGATCAGGATTGGACAGACGACCGTCCATGTTACTTACACGGTAGTAAGTCTGCAGACACAGAGAGGACATAACAAACTTCTTCATACAAAACTTTCAGATCAGAGGTTACCACGAACTCTGGTCCAACCCAACCGCCCTGAGACATCAGGAAACCAAAATGAGCACAGAGTCGGGAAATAAGTCACCTTTAAGAGTTGGGGAACTAAAATGAGGTTGGGAAGTTTGGGACCTACATTGTCTGAAGAACACAAGAACAGCAGTTCTGTGACTTTCTACATAGCAACAGCTTATTTGCAGTCAGGATTTTCATCACAGTTCATCACAGCAAGGAGACAGCTCTGGTTAAAGTTAATAATGACCTTCTGATTGCTTCCTACAATGGTCTTGTCTCTGTACTTGTATTATTAGATCTTAGTGCTGCATTTGACACCATTGACCATGATATTCTTTTACAGAGACTTGAGCATCTAATTGGCATTAACATTGATACTTCGACATTTGGCACATGAACAAACAACCTTCCGATTAGGGGACCACCCGCTCTGCCTCTGCACCACAGCCGCAGTATGGTCTAGACCTGCTCTATTTGAAAAGTAAGATAACTTTTGTTATGAATTGGCGCTATACATATAAAACAAAATTGATTTGAACTAAAATGAGCATGGAGCTTTTGGGAACTAAAGCTAGCATTGAGCGCTGGGGAACTTAAATGAGCGTGGACTATTGGGGAACTAAAATGAGCATGGAGCATTGGGAACTAAAGTTACCATTGCGTTTTGTGGAACTAAAGTGACCGTGCAAGCTAGGGATCTAAAATGAGCGTGGACTGTTGGGGAACTGAAATGAGCATGGACTGTTGGGGAACTAAAATGAGTGTTGAGTTTTGGGGAACTAAGTTACCTGGTTGGTGAAGTACAGCTGGTAGGCGTGGTCGACCAATCGGCTCCTGAACCTGAGGGTCAGCTGACCTTCCAGGAATCGGATGGCACTGTTGATGAAAGTTGCAGGAACTGCAACGAGGAGCCACTTAGAGAGCTGCAGCACGAAGGCCTGAGGATCCTTCTGAACAATACACTTCACTATCACACCTGGAACGATCAATATCATTGATTATTGATCACCTTCTTCGGCATACTGGACGTAACACATATAATAGGGAAATGTACAACAACTAAAACACTACAAAGGGACAGGCAGACAGACAGACAGACAGACAGACAGACAAACAGACCGTCCAAAGCAGCAACATAGATAGACAGGAAGGTCCGGGACATCAGGGTGAGCGAGTGCAGAGCCAGCAGGCCGACCTCTGGACACAGTAACCGTGGAAACAACAGCTTCAACAGACGAGACAGTCTGAGGACAAAGTCTCTGTTTACTGACGGAGACCTGAGGACACAGAGGGACAGGGTTCATCCTGATCCTATTGGATCTGCAAGACCAGGAATCTGGATCACAAAGCCACAGTAACAGTTATTCCAGCTACCTTTAAGTTTAACTTTATCTCGGGTTTATCTCGGGTTTAAATCAAGTTAAATCAGGTTTATCTCAGGTTTAAATAAGGTTTATCTCGGGTTTATCTCAGGTTTATCTCAGGTTTAAATCAGGTTTAAATCAGGTTTATCTCGGGTTTATCTCGGGTTTATCTCAGGTTTATCTCAGGTTTATATCAGGTTTATCTCGGGTTTATATCAGGTTTATCTCGGGTTTATACCAGGTTTAACACACACCTGCTGTCTCTCTTCTTCTTCCCTACATTGATGTCCACAGAGTTGGAGGAGGTGCTGACTACGCCCACAGGCAGATTAGCTCCACCCAGCTCTTTATCTGCTGCACTTTTCTGAGAACAAAACAAACAAACCCAGAGTTACCTACAGTGTGATATGTGTGTACCTGTATATATGTATGTGTGTGTGTGTGTGTGTGTGTGTGTGTGTGTGCGTGTGTCTCACCTGTACCCTCCTCCAGACGTACGGGGACAGCTTTTTGACAGCGTATGCGGCAAGCAGAACAGCCGTCAGCTTCCTGAGTCTGGAGCTCCGCCTCAGCTGAGCCGGCCACTTTTCATAAGTCAGCTGCATGCTGACGGGCAGGTGAGTCCCAACTGTACCTGGTCCCAGAGGGGTCCGCTGCAGACTCGTCACGGAAACAACATGTTGACCTCAGAGTCTGACCCTCCACCTGTAGAGGCAGAAAAATCAAGTCGTTGGTTCACAGTATGGAGTGTGGACTGGTAGCTGGAGACGTGCCCTTGAGCAAGGCATCTAAACCCTAACTGCTCCCAGAGCACCGCTACGTGGCAGCACATCACTCCACATCACTCCACCATCACTCAACCATCACACATCTATCCACCATCACTCCATCATCACTCCATCATCACTCCACCATCACTCCACATCTCACAACAGGCTGTTGCTGGTGACGTGCTACGGTAAGCGTACTGACTCATTCCCGGTTTCCTTCCTGCTCTGTGTACACTGTTTGGTGCTGTAGCTCTGTCAGTGAACGCTAAATATAAATTAGTTTTACTCGTTACAGCGGTTATTTTCCCGCTTAACGTTTAAACGTAGACTAGTTCTACTTAAACACTCGGAGTTTCTCCTTCTTTTAGCGACTTTTCACTACTTTCAAACTTTTTCATACACGCCAGCTTCATTAGCATTAGCAGTTAGCTATGGCTTCTCCCTCTCCCTCTCCTCTGTCCTGCTCAGTGTGTCAGATGTTCAGTTATTCCTCTGCCTCCTTTAATGATAATGGTACCTGTATTAAATGTAGTTTATTTACTGCGCTGGAGGCGAGGCTTAGTGAGTTAGAGGAACGGTACCGCACCACGGAGATATCTTTAGCCACTATAGTTAGCCAGCCCCCAGTAGCCGGTGCGGGCCGACCGAAGGTAGCTTCTGCTAGCCGTCCCCCGGTAGATCCCCCGGTAGATCCCCCGGTAGTTCCTCCCCCGGTAGTTCCCCCGGTAGATCCCGAGCAGCCGGGAAGACAGGGAGGCTGGGTGACTGAGCGAAGGAAGACTAAAACACCGAAGCCCACAGTTCACCACCAACCCATTCATGTTTCTAATACATTTTCCCCACTCAGCAACACACCTGCTGAGGAACCAACTCTGGTTATTGGCAGCTCCATAGTCAGAAACGTGAAGTTAGCGAAGCCAGCGGCCATAGTTAAATGTATCCCTGGGGCCAGAGCGGGCGACACTGAATCCTATTTAAAACTGCTGGCTAAAGATAAACGTAAATATGGTAAGATTGTTATCCACGTCGGCGGTAATGACACCCGTTTACGCCAATCGGAGGTCACTAAGATTAATGTGGAGTCGGTGTGTAATTATGCTAAAACAATGTCGGACTCCGTAGTTTTCGCTGGACCCCTCCCCAATGTGACCAGTGATGACATGTATAGCCGCATGTCGTCAGTCCACCGCTGGCTGTCGAGGTGGTGTCCAGCAAACGATGTGGGCTTCATTGATAACTGGAAGCCTTTTTGGGGAAAACCTGGTCTGATTAGGAGAGACGGCATCCATCCCACTTTGGATGGAGCGGCTCTCTTATCTAGGAATATGGCGAAGTTTATTTCTAAAACCTGACAGTCCAGAGTTAGGACCAGGAAGCAGAGCTGCTGTCTTACACACTTCTCTGCGCTTTCTTTAGAACAGTCACCCACCCAAAACCCCATAGAGACTGTGTCTGTCCCCCGACCACCTAAACTATTTAAAGAAATAAAAACAAGAGGAGTTCAACATAAAAATCTAATAAAAATTAAAACCAACTCCTCAGTAGCACAAAATAAGAGAATGAAATGTGGGCTGTTAAATATCAGGTCTCTGTCCTCTAAAGCTGTTTTAGTGAATGAATTAATATCAGATTATGATATTGATTTACTTTGTCTTACTGAGACCTGGTTGTCCCACGAGGAGTATGTTAGCCTAAATGAATCCACCCCCCCCAGTCATATTAATACTCACATTCCTCGAGGCACAGGCCGAGGAGGTGGAGTAGCAGCCATATATGATTCGAGCGTTTTAATGGACCCTAAACCTAAACTAAATTATAATTCATTTGAAAGCCTTGTTCTTAGTCTTTCTCACCCAAACTGGAAAACACTGCAGCCAGTTCTATTTGTTATAGTGTACCGCGCTCCTGGACCGTACTCTGATTTTATATCTGAATTCTCAGAGTTTTTATCAAGTTTAGTCCTTAAATCAGATAAAGTAATTATTGTAGGTGATTTTAATATTCAGTGACAGTGACAGCCTTAGTAACGCATTTATATCATTAATAGACTCAATTGGCTTCTGTCAGAGTGTAAATAAACCAACTCATTGTTTTAATCACACTCTTGACCTTGTTTTATCATATGGCATTGATATTGAACATTTAATAGTCTTCCCACATAATCCTTTCCTATCTGACCATTATTTAATAACTTTTGAATTTATATTATTAGATTATAAGCCATTAGGCAAAACTTCCTACAGCAGATGTCTATCTGACAGTGCTGTAGCTAAATTTAAGGAGGAGATTCCTTCAGTGTTTAATTCAATGCCATGTCTGAATTTAACAGAGTCCTATAACAACTTTAGTCCCTCTGAAATTGATAATCTTGTCGATAGTGCTACAGGCTCACTACGATCAACATTAGACTCTATCGCTCCTATAAAAAGGAAATTATTAAAACATAGGAGACTAGCACCGTGGTACAACCACCAAACCCGCCAGTTAAAACAAATAGCTAGGAAATCTGAAAGGAAATGGCGCTCTTCCAAATTATCAGAATATCGCTCAAATTGGCAAGATAATCTTCAAACTTATAGAAAGGCCCTCCGTAATGCCAGAGGAGCCTATTACTCAGCATTAATAGAAGAAAATAAGAATAACCCTAGGTTCCTCTTCAGCACTGTAGCCAGGCTGACAGAGAGTCACAGCTCTATTGAGCCACATATCCCCATAAACTTAAGTAGCAACGACTTTATGAGCTTCTTCCACAATAAAACTATTACTATTAGAGAGAAAATTAATCACCAACTGCCATCAACAGTTATCAGTGGCTCTCCAAGTTCAGGGACTTTTGCTAATGTAAACTTAGATATATATTTAGACTGTTTTTCTGCTATCGATCTTCATCAGTTAACTTCAATCATTTCTTCATCGAAGCCATCAACCTGTCTATTAGACCCGATCCCAACTAGGCTGCTTAAAGAAGTTGTTCCCTTAATTGGCACTTCTTTATTGGATATGATTAATCTTTCTTTATTATCAGGATATGTACCACAGTCCTTTAAAGTAGCTGTAAATAAACCCCTTCTTAAAAAGCCCACTCTTGACCCAGGGGTTTTAGCCAACTATAGACCGATTTCTAACCTCCCCTTCCTCTCTAAGATTCTGGAGAAAGTAGTCGCCAAAGAGTTGTGTGACTTTCTACATAACAATAGTTTATTTGAGGATTTTCAGTCAGGATTTAGAGTTCATCACAGCACAGAGACAGCTCTGGTTAAAGTTAATAATGACCTTCTGACTGCTTCTGACAATGGACTTGTCTCTGTACTTGTATTATTAGATCTTAGTGCTGCATTTGACACCATTGACCATAATATTCTTTTACAGAGACTTGAGCATCAAATTGGCATTAAAGGAACCGCACTAAGCTGGTTTAAGTCATATTTATCAGATCGTTCGCAGTTTGTACATGTTAACGATGAATCTTCAATAAATACTACAGTTAATCATGGAGTTCCACAAGGTTCTGTACTTGGACCAATACTATTTACTTTATATATGCTCCCTTTAGGCAACATTATTAGGAATCACTCCATTAACTTTCACTGTTATGATACGCAGTTATATTTATCGATCAAGCCTGATGAAATTAATCAATTATCTAAATTACAAACATGTCTTAAGGACATAAAATCCTGGATGACCTGCAATTTTCTGATGTTAAACTCAGAAAAAACGAAATTCTTGTTCTTGGCCCCAAAAACCTTAGAGACTCATTGTCTAAAGATATAGTCACTCTAGATGGCATTAACTTGGCCTCTAGCACCACTGTCAGGAATCTTGGAGTTATCTTTGATCAGGATTTGTCATTTAACTCCCACATGAAGCAGACCTCTAGGACCGCCTTCTTTCATTTACGTAATATTAGAAAAATTAGACACATCCTATCACAGACAGATGCAGAAAAACTAATCCATGCATTTGTTACTTCAAGGCTGGATTACTGCAACTCTTTATTATCAGGTTGCCCCAATAAGTTCATTAAAACGCTCCAATTAATTCAGAACACTGCAGCACGAGTACTGACAGGAACTAGAAAAAGAGATCACATCTCTCCTGTACTAGCTTCTCTGCACTGGCTCCCTGTAAAATGTAGAATAGAATTTAAAATCCTCCTCCTCACCTATAAAGCTCTTCATGGTCAGGCCCCTTCATATCTTAAAGAGCTCATAGTACCCTATTACCCCTCTAGAACACTACGTTCTCTGAATGCTGGGCTACTTGTGGTTCCTATAGTCTCTAAAAGTAGAACAGGATCCAGAGCCTTCAGTTACCAAGCTCCTCTCCTGTGGAACCAGCTTCCAGTTGGTGTTCAGGAGGCAGACACCCTCACCACATTCAAGAGTAGGCTTAAGACATTCCTCTTTGATAAAGCTTATAGTTAGGGCTGGATCAGGTGAGTCCTGAACCATCCCTTAGTTATGCTGCTATAGGCCTAGACTATCGGGGGATTTCCCATGATGCACTGAGCTCCTCCCTTCCTCTCTCTTTCTGCACTCATTCATGTCCCATTAATGCATGTAACTAACTTCACTTCTTCCCCGGAGTTCTTGTGCTTTCTCGTCTCGCAGGTTCTTATCGATCCTGGTGGAGCCTCCTGCCATGGTCCTGCTAGATTGCCATTGCCAATACTGTTGTTGCTGTGCACCTGTCTGTCTGTCTGTCTCTCTCTCTCTCTGTCTCTCTCTCTCTCTCTCTCTCACCCCAACTGGTCGAGACAGACGACCACCCACCTAGAGCCGAAGGATCTGTCCTAGGTTTCTGCCTTTTAACAGGCAGTTTTTCCTTGCCCTTGTCTCCAAGGTCTTGCTCATGGTGGTACTGTTGGGTCTCTGTAATTAATGTTTTAAGGAGTTCGGTCTAGACCTGCTCTATTTGAAAAGTGTCCTGAGATAACTTCTGTTATGAATTGGCACTATACAAATAAAATTGAAATTGAATTGAATCTCTCCACATCACTCCACATCACTCCCCAATCACTCCACTGTGTCTGTAAGCCCTGTGTGTAAATATAGAGAGAAAAAAAATTTCCTTTTGGGGTATTTAAAAAAAATTTTTTTTTTTTTTTTAAATCTCCTAAAAAAAAAAAAAAAAAAATAAATAAAAAAAAAAAAAAAAAAAAAAAAAAAAAAAAAAAAAAAAAAAAAAAAAAAAAAAAAAAAAAAGGGCCACAGTTCATATTTTATATTTATATATGTGGCTCGGGTGCGGGTCACTAATGTTCGGTCCCGGCTCCTCCCGCTGCATGCCAAGATGCTGATGTCTGTAGTGTAAAAGCACTTTGAGTGGTCGGAAGACTAGAATGGCGTCATACTATGACACCAATAACAATCAATCAATGAAACAGCAGCAAGGAACCATGAAGCACTTTACAGTGAAAATGACTCCAACCATTGATTTCCTGTCAATTGATTAATGGACTCATTGATTGCTGCACTGAGCTGTATACACCTGTTCAACTGCTCGTTAACGCCACTCTAATCCAGTGAGCGGCAGCTTCTGCCTTGTTGATACCAGAGGTCAGAGGAGAATGGCCAGACTGGTTCCAGATTATAGAAACAGTAGCTCAAATAAAAACTTGTTACAACCAAGGTATGCAGAAGAACATCTCTGACCGCACAACACATCAAACCTTGAAGCTGATGGGCTAAAGCAGCAGAAGACCACAGGGTGCTACTCCTGTCAGCTAAGAACAGGAAACTGGGGCTACAACAACATGAAAGCATGGTGGTGGTGGTGGTGTAATGGTGTGGGGTGTGGGCTTGGGTCTTGGCACACTTTGGGCCCCTTAGCATCAATTGGGCCTTGTTTAAACGCCACAGTCTACCTGAGTACTGGTGCTGACCAAGTCCATCCCTTAATGACACAGGCTGCGTTTCATTAGTCGTTCACTTGCCCTCGGGGGAATCTCCGCCGCCATCATAAGTGTCGTTCCAATGGTCTGGAAAACTGAAGTGAACTTGGTGAGATGGACCCTCGGAGGGCTGAGGGAGCGAGTGAACAACAATGGTCACTCCGAGGTGGATATCACCCACAATGCATTGCAGTTTACATCATTGCCGCTATAACGCCGAGTAAGGGCAAGTGCGTTTCATTTAAATCCCCCGCTCCTCCCCCGCCCGGTACTAGCAAGGTGTACCTAATAAAGTGGCCGGTGAGTGTAAAACTAAACATCAGATTTAATAAGCTCTATAAAATCCCTCAATTTCCACTGAACCCTTTTATTATATATATCAGGGCTCCTGTCAGTGGGGGGGTATATCAGGGCTCCTGTCAGTGGGGGGGTATATCAGGGCTCCTGTCAGTGGGGGGGTATATCAGGGCTCCTGTCAGTGGGGGGAGGGGGGGTATATCAGGCAGACAGTGAACAGAGTTGATGTGTTAGAAGCAGGAAAAATGGGCAGCATGAGGATCTGATCCACTTTGACAAGAACCACATTGTGATGGACGACTGGGTCAGAACATCTCCAAACCTGCAGCTCTTGTGGGGGGTTCCCGGTCTGCAGAGGTCAGTACCTATCAAAAGTGGTCCAAGGAAGGAACAGAACCAGAGACAGGGTCATGGGGGGCCGAGGCTCATTGATGCAGGTGGGGAGTGAAGGCTGGCCCGTGTGGTCTGATCCAACAGACGAGCTACTGTAGCTCAAACTGCTGAAACATTTAATGCTGGTTCTGATAGAATGGGGTCAGAACACACAGTGCAGAGTAGTCTGCTGGTCTGGGACCAGTCAGGGAGTCCAGTGATCAATATATCAGTGTATATACTGTTATACTGTTAGTGATCAATATATCAGTGTATATACTGTTATACTGTTAGTGATCAATATATCAGTGTATATACTGTTAGTGATCAATATATCAGTCTATATACTGTTAGTGATCAATATATCAGTCTATATACTGTCAGTGATCAATATATCAGTCTATATACTGTTAGTGATCAATATATCAGTCTATATACTGTTAGTGATCAATATATCAGTCTATATACTGTTAGTGATCAATATATCAGTGTGATCAATATATCAGTCTATATACTGTTAGTGATCAATATATCAGTGTGATCAATATATCAGTCTATATACTGTTAGTGATCAATATATCAGTGTGATCAATATATCAGTCTATATACTGTTAGTGATCAATATATCAGGTGATCATATATCGTCTATATACTGTTAGTGATCAATATATCAGTCTATATACTGTTAGTGATCAATATATCAGTGTGATCAATATATCAGTCTATATACTGTTAGTGATCAATATATCAGTGTGATCAATATATCAGTTATATACTGTTAGTGATCAATATATGTCTATATACTGTTAGTGATCAATATATCAGTGTGATCATATATCAGTCTATATACTGTTAGTGATCAATATATCGTCTTATATTGTTAGTGATCAATATATCAGTGTGATCAATATATCGTCTATATACTGTTAGTGATCAATATATCAGTCTATATACTGTTAGTGATCAATATATCAGTGTGATCAATATATCAGTCTATATACTGTTAGTGATCAATATATCAGTGTGATCAATATATCAGTCTATATACTGTTAGTGATCAATATATCAGTCTATATACTGTTAGTGATCAATATATCAGTGTGATCAATATATCAGTCTATATACTGTTAGTGATCAATATATCAGTCTATATACCATACTTATTTTATATTTTGATTGAATGTGTATCTGGAGCTGCTGGGATCAATAATTACTACATGTATCTCTGCTGACATGTTAATGTGCTGAGGGATCAATAAGTTTGATCACATATTGGTAATAAACCGTCCTCTGTTAGCTGTTAGCCCCGGTTACCGTTAGCTTGTGTAGCCGCCGGTGGCTAACGTATCTCCGCTAACTTCCTGTCGTTCACCGACACAGACAGAGCCGTTAATCAACCGTTAACTACCGGAACCGTTCAGCCGACACTGACCCGAGCTAAAGGTTTAACCCGGTTTAACCCGGGTTATTACACTCAGCTGACAACTGCAGCTAACTGAAGCTAACTGCAGCTAACTGCAGCTAACTGAAGCTAACTGCAGCTAACGGCTAACAGGAACTTTCTCTGATCAAAGTTTACCGGATAAATCTGATCTCAGATCTGATCGGAACTCTCAGATATTAACGCTGCTCACACATCAACTTTAATCACTTTCATTACTTTAATTAACTTTAGTTAATGAGTTTAAAGTCTGTGGATGGACAGAAAGTTCATGTTTACCTGACAGGACGGGCCGCGTCCCAACACTGACAGCACGGGCCGCGTCCCAACACTGACAGCCCAACCCCTCCTTCCCTCCTCTGCTCACTACCTTCCTACCAACAGTCCTTTCCTCGTCCTGTAGCTGAGGCTAAGGTTAGCATGTATCTGTTTGTAGGAAGGCTGTTAATAAAGTTTATATTTTATTTATGTTACAGAAATGGATCAATAAATCAATATTAAACACTTATATTGATTAGCAGCTGTAACCAGTGGAGAGAAATCTTTATTTAAAAACAGCATGTTTACAGTGCGTCACTTATTTACAGGAAGCTTTTTTATTCTTTAACATCAAACAGCGAAAAGTTCAGAGTGAAAAATTACAAATGACCAAAAAGTCCCAAAAGATAGAAAATGAGTTTTACTGTACAGAGTGCACCTGAATGCATCACGGCAGGGACCACACAGCCGGACCACAGCTGGACCTGGACCTGAAGGGGGGGCGCAGAACAAATACCACAGTGTACTGCCCCGGGGTCCTACACACGATCAATAATCAGGTTTGATCAGACTTTATGGATGAAGGTGGAACACAGCGTTTACATGAATACATATTACTTTTACATCCTGTGAGCCTTTAACACAGTTTGGTTGGTGGACTACCACCTCAGTGTTTCTATGGTTACAGCTATGGAAAGCCGATGGGTTCATTTTCACTGCTGTTTGTTAATAAAGGTTGTGAGTGGCGCTCTGTGACCAGCGGAGGGCGTCGGTTTACCACGGTGACCAAATAACGTTTGTGCAATCAAAAACTTTGACTAATGGAAAGTTTAATATTTTATAACAATTTGATTCTGTTGAAATATTATTAATAATATAATTAGTATTCATGAATATCAGTCACGTGATCTTTTACGTCATCCGCTCTTTCCCAGCTTACTAGCGCCATCTTGAGTTCCTACCGAGTATCAGCACAGACAGTACTGACGAGCATTAGCTGGCTACGATTTACGGATTCGTATGGATACAGTAAACAGCTACGAAAGACAACATTTCGCTCCTCGACTGCCGTGAACAGAAACGCTACTTTCAAAAAATATCATCGTTAGCCTGCCAACGTTATAGTGTGAACAGATTAGCAACCACTTGCTAATGTCAGCAGTCTCAGGAGCAGTTGAGTAATATCTGTGATAAATAACGTTACAGGACGGAGAGCAGGGGGGAGGCTGTGGCATTAACTCATTTACACTAAAACCATTAAAAGCACACACACTAAAAGAGTTGGTGGTGTTTTCGGGCTATAATCTTAAACTGGTTCTAAGCTTGAACAATATCCTCAGCTAGCGTTAGCTCGCTAACAATATATTTACATCCACTCAGCACAGACGAGCGTTTGCAGTTCCACGGTGTCTCCACCCTGCTCTCTCCCGGCAGCTGATGTGTGGCTGTCAGAAAGCCTGACACCGCTGCGCTTCATTCAACCAGCGTAGTAACACGCCACTTTACATTCTCAGGAACGGTAATGGCTTTACAACAATGGGAAAGTAATTAATTATATTACTCCGTTACTGAACAAATAACACCGTTAGTAACGCCGTTATACTTAAACGCCGTTACTCCCAACACTGTTTGCAACAGACTTAGTGATCTCGCCGAATCAGGTACTCAACATGGCGGCAGACAAGTTAGAATGTGACTGACGTCAGGTGATATTCATGAATATCAGAGTTTAACTCTGGTACTGCAGTATATAGAGTGACTGTTATCGTTCAGGTGATATTCATGAATATCAGAGTATTACACTCTGGTACTGCAGTATATCAGAGTATTACACTCTGGTACTGCAGTATATCAGAGTATTACACTCTGGTACTGCAGTATATCAGAGTATTACACACTGGTACTGCAGTATATCAGAGTATTACACTCTGGTACTGCAGTATATCAGAGTATTACACTCTGGTACTGCAGTATATCAGAGTATTACACACTGGTACTGCAGTATTACACACTGGTACTGCAGTATATCAGAGTATTACACTCTGGTACTGCAGTATATCAGAGTATTACACTCTGGTACTGCAGTATATCAGAGTATTACACTCTGGTACTGCAGTATATCAGAGTATTACACCGGGGTAAAGTATTACACTCTGGTACTGCAGTATATTTCTGGTACTAGTATTACACACTGGTACTGCAGTATATCAGAGTATTTTACACACTGGTACTGCAGTATATCAGAGTATTACACTCTGGTACTGCAGTATATCAGAGTATTACACTCTGGTACTGCAGTATATCAGAGTATTACTCTATGGTACCCTAACCCAACAACAGATTAGTCCACATTATTGATCTGTCAATCAATATGAGAGTGACAGCAGTGGCATCCAATCACGTGGTTTGATCTCTGGAGGTGGGTGGGGCTTATGTTGGCGCGATGAGACAGCAGCTTCCTGCTGGAGGAGGCTAGACCGGTTTCTGATAACAGACGATAAAAACACAGACTGACACAAACTCATCAGTTTGAATGATAATAAATATTATTGATATTGAAGTTCAACATTTTTAGAAAGTTCATCAACATTGATAAAAGTGTGAAGCTCCATTTAGTCAATCAATAACCAATTAATCAATAAACACTGTGACATCATCGTCTGATTGTCGCTGCAAATATTTTCATCCTGAAAAGTTGAAGAGGTTCAAGACTCCCTGACCCTCTTATTGCTCCCAGACCGACTGCAGAGTCAGGAACACAGACTCTGACAGGAAGTTCCTCTCGTGTTCCTCAGGAGGAAGATTTGTTCCTGTGAGAATCAATCATACGTCCAAATGAACGTGTCAATTCGTTCTGTTTCGTTAGCGAAGATGCTACTGATCAACAGTTAGCATCAGGCAGCATCAGAAGCCTCTTTTAATATTGAAAATAATGTTTTGTTACATCTATAAAGTTTTATTCAATGTTTTGTTTTTTAACCAATTAAAAATAACAAGTGAACATAAAATCACAGAAGAGGCTTTATAAGATGTTAACACATATAAACAGAAACCTCTACAGGTGAATGTTGCACCTGTAAAAGTCCACTAACGTTAGCTTTCTTGCTAACAGAGATGGATTGTTAGCTAATTAACGTAGCAAAATACAGTGAACTAGCTTCATCTAGACTCTTGTTTGATGTTGTGGTTGGCTAACCTTAGCTTATAGCGAGTAAAATACTATCTGAATGTTGATGTTAGACAACAATAAATGATGTAGCGGTACAATCTAACGTTAGCTTTCTACTAGCCAAAAGCAATGTGAGGCAGGGGCATCCAGCTAGCTAACTGTAGCTAAGCTAAGCTAAGGTTGTCCGGCTGGCTGTATATTGGCTGCGCAGTGTGGGTGTGGCATTGGTTGCGTCGTGGTGTTGGCTGATGGCTGATTTGTAAACGGCGAGCTAGTTAGTAGCATGGAGCTAACGGTCCAAATAAAATATAGGAACATTACAGATAGTAACGTTATTCTAAATATGCACGCTGACTGCAGTTCACTGAACAGCTACTGGTGGCGCTGTTAGCTACAATTTAATGACTGTTACATACAGAAGCTTTTGATTATTTGAGACCCCTGATGCTGCTAACAACCACAGAGACTTCCTTACTGGTGTTACTGGTTCACTTCCTGGTAACAATGAAAGATCTGCTCTCATGTCCATGTTTTTATGTTTTTATCAACATATCGACCTGCAGCAGCTGGTTCACTTGTAGGGCAGAAACGTCCAAACTGTAAGAATACCTGAAGAGTCTCACCTGTCTGGGCTCACCTGAGGAATCAAACAGGTCTTTATCAAAAGTTAATCTTTCAGACGTAAAAACTGCTGGTCTGATGGTAGCTGGTGGTGTCCTCAAAGAGAGAGTGCAACACTTTCATCATCACATTTATCAAAAGTTTGTAGAAAAACTGGTTTCGTCCTGATTGTCTGAGCCCAATTACAGACGAAGACTTTGTCGTAGAAAACATTAAAAAACAATCCTGCAGTTACTTCAAGTTTTAAATGATTGACAGCTTCGTTTTTACCCAGAAATCTTTTGGAGGTTAAACAAGTTCAGATTCTAGGGCGGACTTGAATGTTTACGATAGAGGTTATGATCATCATCCTCTGTGTGACATCATGATGGGCAGGATTTCAGGCGACCCCAGGAAGCCAGCCCGGGATTAGTCTGTGTATTGGTGCGTCCTGATTGGTTGGTGAGTCAGACCAGAGTTCCAGGAGACGGCTGGTCCAGAGTCAGGTCTCTGTGAGGAACTTCCTGTTTCTGAGGAGGGAAGGAGTCGTGGTAGAGAGAGCTATCCACAGACCTGCGAGAGAAAGAGAGAGAGAAAGAAAGGGGTGGTCAGGTGTTCTTGTATCAGTGGATCTCTATCTGTACAGATGAGGCCTACCTGCCGTGCAGCGGTTGTCCGTGGAACGTGGCTGAATGCGGCAGTGTTGGTTTGCGATGCGGCGGAGCGTGATGATGACTTTTCTCCGTCTGATAGGTTGACTGCTGGATGCCACCGTGAGTCCGCCGTCTGCCTGGCAGAGCTCCACCCCCACCACCTTGACCTTTAACCCCCCCGTTCACGTTAATGTTGACCTTTCCATTGGCCTGGTTTTGGTGGGTGGAGCCTATTGTGTTCCTCAGGTACCAGTCCCTGAGACCTGTCAATCACACACAGCAGATCTGGGATCAGATTCTGTTCAGTTTTCTGACTGACAAAGTGACCCGGAGATACCAGGTGTCCCGTTCAGTCAGGATCACTTTTGTCAAAATAACTTTTATTCTAAAGCAGAATGTTACATTTGGCGGTATGGCTCTGTTCTGGGACTTGTCCTTCCACGTGTCTACGTGGAAAAGTTTAAGACAAGGAGAGCGGCAGCAGAGACCCTCCAGGGTACAGAACAGAGTAAGCATCAATGGCAATCAGAAAATGACACTGATTAATTAGATACAAAATAAAAAGGAGGAGCTGGGGTGGAGGTGGGTTGCAAAAGGAAGCAGCAAAGATAGGCAGGCTGAAGCAGCTTAAATAAGGCGCCATGAATGATATTTGCCAATTGGATGCTTGTGGGAATCAGCTGAGCTGTCAGCTGACTGTGTATGGTTTCCAATAGGAAGCTTAGGAGGAATCAGCTGAGTCAACAGCTGATGTGTGTTTACGACTAGCTGTGAACATATGATGTAGCTGGAATTGAGAGCCGAGTCTGACTTCGTGGCCTGCCTGAACTAATGCTATGCTTAATTTATGCAAGAATCCAATACCCTCAGAATCTACGGCAGGACTTCAACGTACATCTTTATGCAGATGATACAGTTTTAATACAGAATCTGGTGTTTATGATGAAGTTTACGATGGACTATTTTACCTTTATTTAACCAAATAA